CGTGGCGCCGCCGGCGGGCGGGCGGGGGGGGGGGGGGGGCGGGGAGCCGCTCCGAGGACGAGGAGTCGCTGGCGGGGCAGAAGCGGGGCTCGGCCCAGGCCTCGGGCGCCATCCCCAAGCGCCGCAGCTCCTCGCGGTACGTGGGGACGGGAGAGGGGGGCACGGGCTGAGCCCTGCCTGCCCGCTGCCTGCCTGCTGCCTGCCTGCGGGAGAGGGCGGCCCGCAGGCGCCAGGACTCAGAGCCGTCCCGTTTCTTCCAGGTTCATCAAGCGGAAGAAGTTTGACGATGAGCTGGTAGAGAGCAGCCTCGCCAAATCCTCCAGCCGGGCCAAGGGTGCCGGCGGGGTCGAGCCCGGGCGCTGCTCGGGCAGCGAGCCCTCCTCCAGCGAGAAGAAGAAGGTGGGGGGCCGGTGGGGACGGCCAGCGGCCGGCCGGGGGTCTGGGGAGCTTGGAGAGACCCCGAACCCCCATCTCTGCCCACCCAGGTCTCCAAGTCCGTGTCCACCCCCATCGCGCCCAGCCCGGTCCCGACCCCCGGCCTCACCAAGCGGATGAAGAAGAGCAAACAGCCCCTGCAGGTGACGAAGGACCTGGGCCGCTGGAAACCCGCTGACGACCTCCTGCTCATCAACGCCGTGCTGCAGGTAACGGCCCCGGGGGGCTGTGCGTCCCCCAGGGACCCTCGCAGGGGCGTGTTTGGGTTTTGGGGCTGGCCCCTCACCCAGGGGCTTTTCCAGACCAACGACTTGACCTCGGTGCACTTGGGCGTGAAGTTCAGCTGCCGCTTCAACCTGCGGGAGATCCAGGAGCGGTGGTACGCGCTCCTCTACGACCCCATCATCTCCAAGTGAGTGCAGGGCAGGCCCGGAGGGGCAGAGCCGGCCCGGGGGCGGGCGGTGGGGACCGCGGGGGCTCTCACGCCACGTCCCCCCCAGGCTGGCCTGCCAGGCCATGCGGCAGCTGCACCCCGAGGCCATCGCCGCCATCCAGAGCAAAGTGCTCTTCAGCAAAGCCGAGGAGCAGCTGCTGAACAAGGTGGGATCGGTAAGAGCCGGCCGGGAGCGGAGCGGGCTGCGGGGCGGGGGGCTCCAGTCCGGGGTCTGGGGCTCTCGACGGGGGTCCATGGTGCCACGCGTCCCTTCTCCCTCCGCAGACCAGCCAGCCCACGCTCGACACCTTCCAGGAGCTGCTCCACAAGCACCCTGACGTCTTCTACCCCTCCCGGACGGCCAAGGCCCTGCAGCTCCACTGGCAGCTCATGAAGCAGTACTACCTGCTGGACGACCAGACCGGTGAGGCCCGGGGGGTCCCCTGTCCCCTGCGTCCCCTGTGTCCCCTGC